GAACTAATGTTGATAAATCAGCGCCGCAAAAAGCGCGATGCACTAGAGAGAGAGTAGAATTTCACAGTGCTTGTTTAGGTGCAAATTCTTAATAGGTAGAAACTCATGTGTACTTAACTCAACAATTCTCCGACGGCAAACTTCCTCTCGGGAGACGTGAGGCCATATATTAAAGCTTTATTTTCCCATCCAAAGTATGTTGAGGACAGCGACTGCAGGAATAAACAATGTGCGGTACGTAAAAGTAACCAAATCGCTTTAAAAAAAAATGTTGGAAGTTTGACAAAATGAGGCATTCTTGGCAAAGGCTGGGGCTGGCACAGTTCTAAATTGGCGTTTTAATTAAATCGTTAAAAAAACCTTAGCCGTGGTCATTGCCAACATGTGACTGATGTTGATGCGGAAACTGTGCGAAGACAGTGTTGAACACTAAAGACTATGTGGAAATTCCACGTTGAACTTAGGCAACATTTTCGAGCGCAAAACGCTCATTTTATCAAAGCGGACACGGTCATTAAAATTCCATGCAAATTAGAAAATAACGACTCCAGTATATTAATATCTACCTGTGGATTGATATTTCAATGTTGCCCCGAGTCCGAGCTATTTTCCTAAAATTACGCATTGTTTTCCTTTGGCTTTTCACCAACTATCAACAAAATTTCATTCGGGAAATTTACTTTTGCCCATAAAACCGGTTAACTGCCGGAAAACCGCTTTGGCAGTGCGCAGTCCAGAACAACAATAAAAATATTGTTTATGCAGTTAAATTGCCAGACTTCACTGTGGGTTTTTTGCCAAGAAAATGCATCAGTTCAGATGTTTATGCGAGGACTTTTTGCCACAAATTGAGTATTTTTTTAGTGCTTGCGTCCTCTTCCAGCCTTCCATTGCCTTACACAGATTTTTTATCACAACGTTTTGGCTGGTGGTATGTCCAAACCATTCTCAGGCGAGCGTTGAATGGCCGAACAAACCATTCAAAGCAGCCCAGTGTTTATTCAGATTTTAGACGGTGGATGCTTTTCAACCCAAAACTTCCAATTTTCCCATTTTGACGCATTTTGAAAGCGAGTTTTTCAACATTAAAATAAACAAATTGAACGGGCAATAAAGCAGCTTTTTCCATTAGCTTTGGAGGAAAATGCTGAAAAGTTTGGCGCCATTCAATCGACAATTGCCACTTGGATATTTCGACATAAAAATACACGACGATCTAGACCTACTAACACAGTTTTTTCGGCCTGTCCAGTTGCATATATTGGTGGTTCGTTGCAAAAATAGATCGCCACAAGCCACACATTATTGTGTGTTTATACGCGACTTTCATATGGCCATCAAGTTTTCATTCAGATAGTCCGATTTCTCCATACTGGCCAACGAAGTGTGCGATTGTTTATCCAGATCGTCAATTTCTGGATGGTTTTTGAGCACAAAAGCTCGGACCAAATATTCATGATTTATTGCTTGTGTTTCGCAAACACAAGCGAGGTTACATCCTCAGAGGTGTTTTACGAGAAATATTGAATGGATTATTCGTACTTCCCTTGTCTTACAAAGGTCTTTTTATTACAACGTTTTGACTGGTGGCGTCTTCATCCATTTTCAGTCCGAATAAACCATTCAATATGGTCGATTTCGATCGAAACAGTCAGTTTCAATTTGCAATTTTCATGCTGAAAATCGGTCAATTTCTGTCAGTTGATGCGATTGAAAGCAACATTTGGGTTTGGAAATTTGCACATGTAAAACTGCGTGGCAGAGAAAACATTAAAACAGAAAAATACTATTCAGTCGACAACAAATGACGCCGTTTTGTTATGTTTGGTGTGCTTTGAAGGTGGGTGTGAATGAAAGTCCGAATGGATCCAGACGGCAAATGGATACTTTTCGCGCAAATTTGCTAGTAGTTAAAACGCTCGTAAATCACTAAGCTGGCCAGTCATCTAATGATAATAATAAAATAAAAGAAAAACAAATTTTGTCGGTGGTTTGCTTTGGCGAGGAGCGAACGCCACACGTTTACCTACTAGGCCTGAAAAAATAAACACTCCCCCCAGTCATTCTATGGGCTTTCGAAAGTGACCAGCGCAATTATTTAAAGCAAAAAAAACAACCCATCGGTTACCAGTTTTGCCCACTCCAGGTGCCCCTAAAACGGCCACTTTCACTTCGGACAACGACGACTTCTTTCGCTTCATCACCTTCGAGTTCATCTTCACTGCGAAGAATTCCAACTGTTGTTCGGGCACGCTTTTCGTCTCTTTGCCTCGCTCACTTTTTAACCCGAAGTTCTTCTAAATTTATCCCGCGGGATCCTCAGAAAGACTACTGAAACAGGCCCGCGTTTCTCCGCACCAACCGCATACAGGACAGGTGGGAAAAATAAATTTAGACTTTCCTCATTTTTGGGGGGATTTTCAGCAGAAATTTTTCTCAAGATGTTTAATGTCCGCAGATGAAAACAGGGTGAACATCTATTAACTAGCAGAATCATTCTTTTGGTTTGGTTTCCATTCGGGAACCTTCCACGCAGATGCCAAATGTTCGCAAACGTTTTTTTTTTCATTTGGCTGAGTCAGTTTGGCAGGTTCTAGCATTGGCAACACTTGGTCACTGTCATTCATTTTAAATGCGCGACAAATGTCACTGAGTCTGTGTCAAAAAATGCTTAGAAGTAAGTTAAAATCGCCTCCCATGTTAATGGAACTTGTATTTTGAACTCTGAAACTTCTGCGCTTATAAAAGTCTGCATATTTTCGTAATTTCCATCAATTCCAGCAGGGGATTGATTCGATAGGATCCCTACTGTTGGCAACCCTTGGTCAGTGTGACGTTTCACTTTGGAAAATGTCAACTTTTCGCTAATGACACTGTCATCGAGTTTAAAAAATTGCAGCTCAGTCGGGTTTTCGTGATAAATGAGCCAGAACGAAGTGAAAATCGTCTCACAAGTGCATGCTGTCTGAAGATGGACGTCTCTTCATACCAGGTGAGTAAGTATCAAAGTTAATTACGCAAAGTTAAAAAGCAGTCAATATTGCCACTGATTTTTGCCCGGGAAATCAACTTTTAAACCACCCAAGAAAAAAAATCGCTTATTAGTACGCATTTATAGAACAAGCGGTTTGAATAATCTGGATTTTGACCCATTTGGCATCAATTTTAGTTGGTTACTTTACACAGTTCAGGTCATCATCATCGTTACAGTTCATGTGACGTTTGAACTCGATGGAAAATGTCAAATCCTCTCTAACGTCACTGTCATGTCTTGCAAATACTCCGAAAATGTCATCGGGTTGAGGCGCTTTCAGTAAAAAATAAGCTACTCAATACACTCCGGACTTAAAAAGGTGTTTACCAGAAAAATACATTTCAAAGAAATTCATGGACATTTTACAACACTGTCGAACCATCACCCTTAGGGGTTTTACTCCTTTGCCTCAGGCTGCTGTAGCTGGCTTCCTTAGGGGTTCGTTTGGCGCACTGGGACTTAACGGCGCCCCCTTCAGTTGGGGCCTTATCGAAAATTCCGGCTGAAAAACACATTGTTTTTGCCCACAAAAATCTTTTGTTGGCAATTTCCAGCAAACTCACAGCCCATTTTTTCCTCAATCATGCTTTTGGCTCGTGGAATCCGGCTGGGCATTGGGGTTTTTACCCCAGCGTGGCTCAGAACGGCCTCTTCAGCAGCAATTTTCTTGCATTTAACCTTCGGATGTTTGAGGCATTGAGCTGGTGGATTCGTCTGGCTGCCCTCGCTTGGAGGGTCCAGAGTCCGGTAGGCCTGGATTTCGGTTGAAGATTTGTCAGGCGTTTTCTGGCATTCTTTTTCTGGTTGAGGGGGGCGGGTCTGGCCTGATTGTTTTGCCGCAGGGAAAGGAATTGGCAGGATTTGATCAGTTTTGGTCTGGGAAATTAGCTCTATTGACTTCTTTTCCGAATTGAGGCAATCTGGAAACATTCAGTTGGTTGTAAACGCGGGGTTTGGTTGCAACCGATTTTCAATTCTGTGGGGTTTGAGTGAAATTAGCTCTAGAATTTAGACGAATAGAGGAGCTTTGAGGATGAGTGAGTTGAGCCAATCCCCAAAGATCGACTTTCTGACTCGTTTACTGAAATTAGACAATGAAAATGCAAAAGTTATTTTTTTGCGTTTGAATTGGGTCAATCGGACGAAGCCGTGAAAAAAAGCAGGTCGACCGGTGACAATAATTCTTCTTCAAGTCCAGTTTCAACACGRKGAGCGACGRCCATGAGATRTGATCGGACAGTCGTTTGAATGAAAACGGTGGAATCGAGCCGCGCACCGCCCTGGACCATTTTTTATGTCGACCCGGAACTCTATTTTTAACCGTTTTACTGCGATATAAAATTATATCATAAATTTCGCCAAACTGCCGAAGCATTTTAGCATTTGCCCATGCGTTTAACGACTGTTTCACTTTAATGGTACGTTTCACTTTATGGAAGATGAATTGGGTTTCTTTCGGTACTTTTCCAGAAAGTGAGTGCATTTTTTCGTTTATTTGTGCCAAGAGTTTTTAAATCTCCCTCCGCATGGTCAGTTTTGGAGGTCCGCGTTGCGATTTCTTCCAAACGAAAGTAGATAGAGAAATGGAAGTTATTCGTCTGAAAAGGGCACTTTTTCTATTATATTGGCTGAAGGTTTCGGAAGTTTCCATAATGAGGTTCAGTTGTGAGAATTTTTTGAACATTAACTCCGCATTAAGAGCAAGGAAAGTGAAAACACCACATTTTTAATGAACTAGAGCAGATAGACCAACGCGGGTTTTTCCTTTGGAAATGGTACAATAGCCTCTGTAAAGACGCAAATTGACAAAAACCTGCCTTTTTCGGTTCATTTTGGAGAATTTTTTGAAAGTTTGCTGCCTTGCCAATAAAAGGCCACAGACAGGCAAAGTGAAGACATCCGATTTTTTCTACACGCGCACAGGAACTCCATGCA